GAGAATAAAAAAATTAGATAAATGATTTGATAAACAGAAGCGTGTTTTGAGTAAAGTAATTTACGTTCTACCTTAAATCCAGTTATCTCACCGTGGCCCCGTGACGGATTTCATAAATGCGTAACGAGCGTTTGGAAATATTCTTTTTCCGTAAACGACCAAATTGAAACCGGCACAGAGTTTATTACGACCATGCATGCGTTATATGCGTACTTTCGTTGCAGAGACCAAAATTAATTAAATCTGTCTCACTCTGAGCGAAGTTTAAAAATGATTCGTGCGTTGAAAAATTCTCCTATAATTTTATAGAAATCTCAATGTGACCACCGACTATTTAAAATTCTGATTTAGAATCAAAATGAAATCATATTTTATTTGCACAAAATTTTTATCACAGTAAAATTGAAAACTTAACTTATTAAAAAAAATTAATTTTAACTTTTTTAATGTAAATGAATAATACATAATGTATCATATAATTCTAGTTACTTTCATTATTATCACTTCCATATTATATAAAATATGCTAATAATTGTATATCACCTTTCATTTAAATTTATAAATTTTGTCAATCATTTCATTTCATTTTTTTACTTCTTAGAATTGTCAAAAATAAACAAACAATTAAACATAAATACATTATTACAAATAAAATTTGATATCTATACAAATAGATAAAAAAACTTTATTTAAAATTTGTTTTAATTATATTTACAATTTTTTGATTTTAGAAAAAGAATATGGAATAAGAAGAAAAATATTATTTTATAATAATTAGAAACTATCATTGTTTGTTGTTCATTTACGTTGGTATTAAGTACTTGAGAATGTATTAACATCATGATGTAAAATTTAACATAACAAAGGAGCACTTAGATCTTGTATATTGTACATTGTATTGATTTTCAAGAGAGCGAGTTAGATGGATGTGCATTAATTTCCCAACTCTTTTTCAGCCGTCTATCTATCGTGAGTTTCTTGCTTCATATCTTCATAGAATAACATATCCTTCACATATCTTACAGTTTCCAAAGAAACTATTATAAAATACTAAGGCAATAAAT